TATATAATTATATATAATTTAATCTAAATGCGCATTTTAATTCAACTACGTTTATTTGTTAATTTAGTTCGAACAGGAAAAGAAACTATTATCGAGAGTTAGAATAAATTAATAGGTGAATTCAATTGATCTGTGGTTGATGACCTTTGACCTCATGTGACATAATGAACCGTGTAACTAAACTGTTCGTTATACCAAATGATAAGAGTGTACTATTCTACACCTTATTACTAACAATAACAAAATACATTCAGTTGTTAAGAGTTGTGGGCATAAATGTGACCCACCTACTTATATCAATCCTAATGCATGACATGGACACACCTATGGCAGTTCTCTATTATTTTATATTCACTAGTTAGTTAGGTATCACAATTGTAGATATATTTACCTAATAATTTATAACACATCATCACCAGTTTTCAGCATCATAGCTGTTATTTAAAGCTAGTTAAGATATTTTTTATTCTTATCATAATCCAATGGTGAATGCGTAATATAAACACAATCACATATTTTCGAAGCCATAACTTTGCAGTTACTTGAGCTAAGATGTTATAATAATATCTATGCACGTATTTTAGTATATAATTTGCTTCATTTCACTTTTATTCATGTTAATTTAGTTTTAACGTGATGCAAAAACTATTATCAAATGTTGTAATTGATATTTTGGGTTGACATGTGGTCGATGGCCTTTTGACCTCATGTGACATAATTAACAATGTAATTACATTTTTCTTTATACCAAATGATAGAAATCTATTATTCTACACTTTGATACTAAAAACAAGAAAATATATTCAGTTGGTAAAAAGTTGTGGGCATAAATATTACCCCTCACCCTATATCAATCAACCAAATTTTAATGGTGTACAAAAACAAGTACCTATCTTTAATGTCGGTTTACAGGCACTGGCAACCAGAAATCGCTTGACTAACAAGGTATTTCTTGAAGCTTAGACACAAAGGAAACTAACAAAAAATGATGACAGGAATAAAGCAGAGGGGTGAACCTTTTCGGTTCCTGGCCCCTGGACTATCTGTATTAGTGCTCGCCTGAAACATTCTGACGCTCAAGGGACGAGGTGGGCGGAGCACATAGGTCCTTCGGGGATTTTAAAGTGTGCATCGATCTCCGGGTATCAATCGCAAATTAATAACATCACTTGTGGAAAAAAACCCATTTTTTTCTACAAACCGTTTTGGGAGGATAAGGCAACACATTGTTCGACCCCTGTTTTTGCTTATTGTAAATGGAATAGTGGAAAATGTTTGAAAATCAGCGAAAACTTTTTTTTTTTTCGAGCTGTTTCTGAGAAATTAATAATTATTTGGTATTTTTAAATGAGCTATTACAAAATGGTATTTAAATTTGCGAGGTTTCCCCGAATTTTCGGCATGTATAATTCTCTATTTCTTGCTTCTTTCCTCTGAATTTTATTATTTTGTTATACATTAACACTGTACTTATAATATTGCTGTTCTTGCTTATATTTAACTTCTCATTGAGGTTTCGAAACGCTAACAAAACTAACATTAATGGTAAATTTATGGAAATTAGACTTCATAGTTTAAATAGAATGTAGCAGTGTAAAGAGGGCACTCTTTTGTAAATGTGTTCCAGTCGTTGATCATTCTCAGACTAAATAAAGTATTCCTTAATGTCCAATGTCCAACCATTTTTGCGCTCTCTTGCTTTGCGGTAGTCTGCAGTTTAGGTTCTCTGCGCAGGCGTAGTTGTTTTTACGTATCGGGGAGGGTTAAATCATGTTTCGTCAGTACACTTTAAGGCCATAACCATTAGGCTTATGGTTCTTGTGTCATGTGGGATGAATGTTAAAACGTATAGAGTATGTGAAGCTATTTATGCTTACTGGAATGAATGCAATATAATTATGCCAGGCCAGTTGAATGTGGGCCTTTAGTTTAATAACTTTCTAATACAGATGTGTATAAGAGACAGTATATATATATTGTATTTTTAATGTATTTTTGATAAATAAAAGTGATGGTTACATCAGAAAAGAGAAAAAAAATGACTCAATATAAGTTACGTTCACATCAAGCCCGGATCCGGTCCGGAGTTCGGACAAAAAATCGTGAGTTGCTACATTTGTTGTACGCTGCGTTCACATCGCGCACGGAACTCTGTTATTTGGGTTAAGAACGTATGCGTTCGATTGGTTCGAACTAACAAAGCTTGTTGCTTATTATTGGTCCAAGGGGAAAAAACGTATGATTTCATGATACAAATGGCTCTCAGATCAATCGGTCCGGATCTTTAGTCCGGATTGCAAATCGTACGAATTTGATGTGATCGATCATATTCTTTTCCACTGAACCTATTTTCATGATTTTTTTTTGTCTGGGCACCGGACCGGATCTGGGCTTTGGTGTGAACGTAGCTTTAGACTTCAGCCGAACACTCACTGCGCCCCACGGTCGTTGCCGATGCAATTCTATGATGAACGCAATACGACGGCGCGAGCTCACAACGAATCATTTTTAATGACGATCCGTTCAGACTGCAATGGACAATCAGCAGGCTGTGTCAAGTAGTCTATCGCGGAGTATAATTCGTCTTGCGACGGCCCGACCGTGTGATGAGGTAGGCCCTGCTTTACATTATCAACAGATGTGACAATACGATCACTGATATTCAAACAAATATTTTTGTTACAGATACTGGCGTGGCACGTGCAATGACCATTGATGTGAAGTTGGGTTAAGTAGAATTTGGATATGAAAACGCAATGAAGAACCGTTTACAGTATAAAAATTAGAAGACCCTCGATTGGATGTGGCGTGCGCATTCATGTTTTCACAATCTGATGTCTGTTCCCATCACATTGTCGTGTTGGTCATTTATTATAATTACTGTACAATATGTACACTTTATGAAAATCACTTTTATGAAAATAGTCCATTGTGTGGTCCACCTATTTTCAGTAATTTATAAAAGCAAAGAAAAAAAATGTGTATATTAAAAAAAAAATATGTATGTTAAAAATACATTAAAATTATGCACATTTGAATGAAAAATAATTGCCAATTTATCATTTAAATATGGTTAACAATACACTTTAGAAACTTCGCAATCAACATTTAATGCGATCCAAATTGTTTTAATTATTATCTTTTATTTTACTTTATTTTATTTGACTGAAATATAAATCATCATAATAGATACATTTTAAAAAAATCCAGCGAGGGAACGTGGCAATAAGTGCAAACACCTCTAAACCGATAAGTTCTCATAATGCACATGTCCCGACGGCAAATACATAAAATAGGCATATATTTGTCTACAAAATATAACTCAACAAACAAAATTACACAATTAAACATAAAGGACGAAAACATTTTGTGATCCGGGTGCATATACTTACGGGGTCAAACACGTTGACAAACAGAAGCATCATGATCCCTACAACTTATTGATTTTAATTTCTTAAAATCTCTACTGTAATCACTATTCATATGCAAGTAAATAAATATTATCAATCTCCTTTAAATTGCACTTAATTTGGTGTATTAATGTACTTCTAATGATTCGGCCGCTGATCTCTATATTTCATAGATAGGCATACACTTTCCTAGCTTTCGATATATTATGAAAGCTCTGATTAATGAGACTGAGTTGATTGCATACAAGGTCGATACTTAAACTACGTAGAAGTGGGGTAGTTTTACAAAACATCGACAGCCAATGGCTGTCTTTAGTGGTTTACCTTGTGTGGTTTATGTGTGAATGATACTATTAATAATGCTCACATTATCACCCGTACACTAAGATAGGAAGCATGATAGAATTCCAAATGATACTTATATTTTGTGTAAGAACAGCTAGGCCAATGTAAAAACCAGTGTAACACATCCTGATACATTTGAGCAGATCCCGATATATTTGAGGGAGTAAAAAAGCCTTATGACACTTTCTAATACTATCCTGAACATTTTTTTGGTGATTTAAGATCACTTGATAAAACAAGACCGAGTAACGAGTCCATTAATTTTAGTTCACATTCATAAAGAGACAAATATGGATCTAGGGAAAGAGTGTTTTTTTTTCCTTCTTTATTTTTTTATTTTTTTTTTCAAAAAACGGTAAATGTGGTTTTGCATGGTTTACATTGAAGACCATAATCAGAGATGTATTTATATACATATTTCATTCGATTTTGAAGGCCAGACGATCGAGGATGAGACTGAATAATAATAGGTCGTCAGCAGAGCAGAATACATTGAGGGTTGAATTTGCAATAACTATACCACACTCCATTGCATTTAGACCAGAAACCAATTCTTTATAGATTACAATTTAAAATTAAAATGGGAAGGTAAACCTCCTTGCCTTGTAGCTTTACGAATTAAAACCTGTGGCATATGTGGTTGTTCAGTTTAATATACACAGTAAATTTAGTGTGTCGATGCGGGCTATGAGCATTAAGGCCATCTGAGCTCTGCATTTTACATGTGTGTGTTTAGGCAATACATTACATACCTCCGGTCGGCTCTCCCCACTAAAAAGTTCGATTGGGTACCTGCGAATGTTGTAGTTCTTTAATTGCTTTTGTGTGTAAAGTTCCAGAAAAAAAGGAAAGACAGGAACAAAATATCAGAAAAGAAAGTAATAATTAAGTTTCGAATCTCCCCAGAGAGAACTTCATACTAGTTATTGCATTTTAGCACTGACTCTGTAATTTTGATAATGGTTGGTAATCTTTTAGTTTTATGGTGTTAGTATATTTTGTATATTAATTAATCTGTAAATAATAACAATAAACATTGTTAAATTGTAATAATAATAATAATAATAGTAATTTTAACGATGAGAGTTTTGATGATTTAAAATCTTCAAATCTTATTAAATACGTATTGTTTTGTTTCTTAAAGTATTTTTGCGTTTATATATACAAATTATATACGTTGATAAATTTGATTGCAATAAAGTGAAATTTGATTTGATGTGACTTAGCTTTTGTCAATTATTAAATCAAGTGACCAGGAAGTAGCCTAGCGTTGCATTTTCTTTTATAACCTACACTCTTGGTATTTAGCTGTCTGCCCGCTGGTAGACTCCGCCGCCAATTCCAATCCGGCCCGGAGCGACATGGCTGAAAAATACATCATTTATTTTTTAGTACCGTACTTATGAGAATTTTATTTTCTGTTAATAGAAACACCACAACCTACTCTGGCACTTTTAACAATGTTTTGAGTGTAACTCACTGTGTGTGGAGTATTGAAATGAGAAGAGGAGACAGATTGGGATAAAGAATTAAGTGAGGAGTGCTGATGATGCTTTTTCTAACCATTGACGTTGCCAACGGCAAGCGGCCGAGCCGGGGAGCAGGCTAAGGGGCCCGTCATTCTGTTTTTTAACAGTCGATAAGAGTGCCATTTCTGGGCATCAAATTTTTAAATCGACACCTCTTGATGTGGACCCGTTTTAGGGATATATCGGGTAATTGTAGTGGTAGGGTAGGAGAACCTGGTGTGCAAGTATTTTGTTTTTATTTCCACCCTTCTCTTATATGGTACTGCACTCCCTTATTTTTGTAAAACAAGGCATATCATAGTTTATGTTGAAAATCAAAGGCTACATTATAATAGGCCTCGCCTGCATTGGGAAGAATTGTAGAGCTATAAAAGAGAATGGGTGGGGATGTCATTGAGTTAAATGTGGAAGTACACAATTATATCGGTCGGTCCGCCACTGATCTCAGCAGGTTCAAACTGGCCACCAGTTAAAGAAGAGGTTGCATTGAATACCTGTGGCCTACACATACACCTCTACCCTCCCCACCCCAACCAACCAAGCTTTTTTTTTTTTTTTTATTTGTCTTTTTAACGTTATTTGCGAAATTGTGGAGGGTGGGGGGATTACCCAGATTCAAAAAAAAAAATTCGAAATATTAAAATTTTACAGTAATTTCATACACAACATTTGTTTATATGTCAATGAATAGCCAGCATCTATGAAATATATTGAAATCTTTTAATTTATGAGCGTTTTTAAGTGATTTTTTTTATACACACATATATGTTAGCAACCTTTAGGTGGATTACGTGTACTGGAACGATTTTGTGATTATCCCGGCCAATTATCTTGACGATTAGAATATAAAGTTTATAAGTGTACAGTAGATATTCATGATATATATAATACTGTTCCTGGATGCAGTAGATTTTCACGAAATAGAATAAAATACTCCAGGAATAGATAGAGAGAGAGGGATAAGAAGGGAGCTGTTGACTACACATTAAACCTATCAACCTATCCTTCCTTGGACAGCATTCCAATAAGTTTCGGGGCAGAATACGGATCACTTATGAAAAGTAGAACCTAGTATAGGTTTTATTAGGCCCAATAGCCTATATGGATAATTTTTCATTCCTTGATATTTTGTTCATGGATAATCCATAATCCTAGATAATCCATTCATGGATAATTTTTCATTCCTGATGACATAATTAATATCGAAATATTGAATCCCGACACGTTTACTTGGAGTATGTATTATACTATTTTAGCCTATATAATACTCAATTACAACTTACATTTTTACTGGGGTGGGGTTAACCATCACCCTCTGAGTACCTGGTAAAGAATAGTATGTTAATTTCAGCTCTGGAAGTGGAAAAGCATTATTATACTATAATTACGTTAAACTTTCCAAGTATGTGTGAGCATAAGACGTATTTTCTTGGAATTTTTTATATAGCCTGACGTAATAAATAATAAAATTTCTTAGTAACCATTATACTATACATTTAAAGAGTGGACGTACTTATGCTGTGTTCATATTAAAATATAATTATTACTATATAAGACTAATCAACAAACAACATAAACATATACAGATTAAAATTATTACGTTGAACTTCCCATGTCGATGCATATACTATAAAGTAATTTCCTTAAAATGCATTTATATAATGCAACATTTTCTTTATTACCTTATACGGATTTCGTTACACACTAACTCCATGGGCGCAGCCATCTTAATCACTCTTTTTACATTTAGCCCCACCATCGGCTGCTCATCAACCCTTCTCTCTTAAAGCCTGTTTTCCACTGGGCGAATTTATTCGCGCGATCGAAAGCGTCGGTTCGGTTCCTCAGCTCTGATTGGTTGCGCACATTTTTTCACTTCGCAACAAGTAGAAATAGTTGGAACTACCAATTTTGCTGAAGTGAGAACTCCGATAGAACAATGAATGCGCTTGCGCAAGAACGACGCTTTCGATTTGTGCAAATAAATTGACCTAGTGGAAAACCGGCCATCTGAATCTAAATATCTGAATATAGCAGATTAATTAGAAAGAGTCTCAACCAGCCCTACGGCGGCCTAGCTACACCCTAGGCCAGGTGACCTACATTATGATGACATTTCAACAAGAAGATAGGCTTCGGATGAAGGATGCCAGCAAAACAAAAACGTCCCTAAATACACATAACCTCATCTAGTCTAACAAAATTAACATCATGAGGTTACTCCTGTATACTTGTAATCGAATAAATTATATTGCTTCCTATTATATCTATAACTCAAAACTGATTTTTATTGCTGTCTTTTTACATTATATATATATATATGAGAAATAACTTTGACCATGTTCGTCATAGTGAAGTATGTATTAAACTCATCACACTTTAGCTTATGCAAAATTGAATTATTTTTATTCACCAACCGTATGCACATAGTCCTTCAAATCTTGGAGTTTTCCGGTGAATCCTGGGGATGACTATCATACTGGATTTCAGATTCAGCAACCATTTTCTTAACTTTGATTGTGGCTGGGAATGTCCTAAATTAGCGGAACACATCTGAACGAAATAGATGTTATGTTAATGTTATATGACTTGTTTTTAACTATTACAATTCTCTCTCTTCATCAAGGTATTGATATTTCGAAAGATATGATCGACGTTGTCAGACAAAAATATCAACGTTCAAACGTGACGTATGAAGTTGCAGACGCTAAAAATTCGTAGAAAAGTTTCCCAAGTGGAAGGGTACATTTGATAAAGTTGTTTCAGTTCATGCTTTACACTGGGTAGAGAATAGAGTTGGTGCAATGCGCAACATCTACGATTGCCTAACAATAGGCGGGGAGTGTTTTCTCTTGTTCTGTGGACCGTTGCATGAAATGCTAGGCCAAAACCAAAATGAACTTCCCTATTTTTTGAAATATTATAGTAAATGGAACAAACACCTTGAGGTTTGCAAATGATTTGCTACAATTCTAAATACCTACTTAAAATACTTAACTAAATAAACTAATTAACATGTGTTACTGTTTGTTAAAATTGTCTTATTTACTTTATAGGGTTACGTTCATAGAATGTACAATCAGTTTGACCTGGATGACACCCGGAAATTGTTGGAATCTGTAGGTTTTGAAGTGCTTAGTGGAACGTCACATACGCCATGTGAAAATCTCGAAATTTGGAGTCAAGACGAAACAAGAGGTATGGTAACAGTGTTCTAAGTTGCTGCTTTTTCTACGGCATAGATTGATATAAATTTATTTAATTATTCTAACTCATTTAAAATATAGGTATATGTTATACATAACAATTAACTATTTTCACAGAATATATTTTTCGAACGTATAATATTATAACAATAGAAATATTACTGGTCCTTAGCTTGTCCCAGTTCCATTTGGTCATCAATTGGTTTAAATTGACTCCTGTCGACTTACAAAATACACTAAGTTTAAGAAATACAAACCATAATTTCTTTAATTGAAAAAAAACATCAGCTGTACTTCATGGGGTAGGGACTCGCATATACCCCTTCGTATATCATTTGTCTTAAGTTTTTACTGTTACGCTTACAGTCCTGTTTATATCAGCATTTTTGTCTATAATTAATTATAAACCTATTATATTATAGCATCACTAGAGTTTAAAATATAGAACCATATTCAAGAATCGTTTGTGTCAGGCATGCATATAAACCAACATTATTTGTGTATTGAAGCAGCATGTCTCCATAACCATGCATTTTCTTGTCGGATGACAAGGTAAATGAAGAATCTTTCTAAAATTTAGGATAGCATGAATTCCGCAATTGAACAAATCAAGTTCGAAATATTGAATCAAAATGGCTTGTTGGTATTAACATTTTCGAATTTCCACAATTGCTGAAAGATATTTAAAAAAAATAAAAACAAATCTTTAAAACAGAGCTGAGTGAAACATGCATTTCATAGTCCTTGGCATTTCGAAAGAAATTGATTGAAAACACACAAATACATGTTAAGACAAAAAAAATCATGGGCAGGGGAAAATTGTCTTCTGTCAATTAAAAAATGCAAAATGCTATTTTTTTTTATTGTCTTTAGGCAAAGAATGAATTAGTAAATGTACAGTATATAAAACATTCCTACTCAAATTTAAAATCTGTTATTTCCCTTCAAAATAAATGTTATTAAAATAAGAGTACGATATACTTAATTTGCTTTAGCTAAGATAATAGACTAGCAGTTTTTTTTAATTTTATCAAAAGTGAATTATCAGTTCCAATCCTGTCTATTTGAAGCATTATTGATAATCAGAGCAGGCCCCTAAACAAAACATTTTATTCGCCTTTGAAAGTCGGGAAATCTTCTGTTTCCAATAAGGATCCAAACAAACATCATATAACAGAGAGAACTGCTGAGATTGAGTGACCAACATCTTCTGAAAAAAGGCAAAATTTATTAGTGATTAAGCCCCAGGCCTACATAAAGTAACTGTCGCCAGAAATACTAAAGGTTTACAGTACCCCTCAACCCATTGTTTCATTATTTAGCATGGACTTACAATAAGTGAGAACACGGCCTAATTTACCATTAGCTAGACTATGGGGCAAGG